TGCCTATTTACACAGTCCCAAAAGTAACAGGTAACCCAACAGATGCTACCATGCTCGTTTATATGTAGTTATTACATACCTGTAATTCAGGAGCAAATGTGGCTTTATGTTAAAGCCCGGCTTCCTACGAGTGTAATAATAGCTTATTATGCAGCCAGATGTTGCAGAGGGGTGGTGCTCAGCCCTCAGCATAAGTTAGGATGAAGTCTTAGGTAGCTTGGGGAATGTTTGCAAGTCTGTCCCACATCCTGATCTGATACTCAGGAGTGGTCACAGCCAAATAGGATTATATACAGCCTTCCCAGTCTCCAAGGAAGATTACTTGCAGAAGTCTCCTTCCAGATTATCATCTTCCTTTACTCTGTTATTTTGCTTCTTGGTGTTATAACCAAGGGAACTATGAGATCCCTCTCAAGTAGTCTCCACCAAGTCCTCCACTGCTTTCAACAATGCTCTACAGTGTTGAACTCTTCTTGCTCTGCTCCAAATAAAATCAGGCCCCTTGGGAAGAACTGTAGACTTTTAGGTAGAAATTCAATGTACTGCCCAAGATCTAAATCCAGGGGAAGGTGTTGTGGCACAGCTGACTAGGCTGGCAGTGGGATGCCACATTCAATGTTATAATGAAGATAAGAGTCCTGGCCACTCTGTTTCTGATCCAGCTTCCTGGTAATACACCTGTAAGCCAGTAGATAATGGCCCAAGTACTTGTATCCTCCTCTGTCAGAATCTTAAATGGAGTTCTTGGCTCCTGATTTTGTCCTGGCCAAGTTCCAGTTGCCGTGGGCATTTGAGCAATGAACCAACTGATGGAAATCTTTCTCCCTCTCTTGTCACTCTAACTTTGAAGTCAATCAGTCAATCAATAAGCCATAAAATAAAACAACTAAATCCAAAGCAGGACTGTGCTTCTCTTCTTCTACAGTAACATTTCTGCAAGGGCAGATCAGGTATCCCTGGACCTCCATGACTTTCAACTTGTGGGACACAACCTGTGCATGCCATTGAGTGATGGCGCTGAAGCTGCTCAGTCTGTGGTATTTTGGGTGGAGGTCCCAACCTCCAAGCAGGGGCTGGAGAAGGGCCTGGGTCCTACCTGCACCCTGAGTCTAGAGTCTAGAACAGAGCTTTTGCAGTAGCTTGAGGTGCAAAGGATGTGCATGTATTCAGGCTGAAGAGCCAAGGAAAAATCACAATCTCAATTTGTCACCAATGAAGAGAGGCAGCCCCTGGCTCCTGACTAGAGCTCCTGAGTTCATATATATTTTTTGTTACTGCTATTTATTTTTATTGGAAAGACATATTAAGTTGGAGTTGCAGCAAAAGTTTTAGCTCCTGTGCCAGAGATTTGCACTGGTCTTATTGAAAGTTAGTAGAATTTCTTGAAAGAATGACTCTACTACTATATGGCCTTAGAAAAATTTCCAAAAATATTAAATGTCTGTCTCATACAATTATCTTTAGTTCCATACTGTTTCCTAGAAAGAATTCATTATGTAAATCAGTCTTCCAAACATAGATATTTTGCAAATGTAAAGGAGATTTCAAAAAACCTTTCACAGAGTAGGTGCTCTACATATATATTTAATTTGTTTTATTTAGTTATAATGAAGTGATTGTTAAATTACATTTGTGGGTACAATTCCTCTTTTTCATAGCTAAGAACAAAAGTTGAGAATAAATTCTTGGGAGTCACAGTTCCAAGTAGTTTGGTGCAGGAACCAACAAACAACATGATGCCAAACTATGTCTCAGAATTATGCCCATGCACCCAGCACAGTGAGAAACACAGATTCATAATATGAGCCCATATATGAATGTTTTCTATTTATACCAATAGATTTCTTATAATAAAATTATAATAAAGATGAAAATGCAACAATTAACTTTGTTGATCACTAAGTATTTATTAAGCATGTGCTATGAATCATCTCACTATATTCTCCCAAAATATAGGTACTAATTTCCTATAAAATGATAGTGTTACGAGTGACATTTGGGTAAAGGCATAAAACCATCACATTTGTGGGACAGAACTGACTCAAAAAGCCAGGAAGCCAAGGGTTTTTACACTGCCTTCCCACACTGAATTGCTCTTTCTTATTGTCCACGTTACATAGGATTGGTAAGACCATCACAAAAAAGTTTATTTCTTTGGGAGAAATGTCCAGAGTTTCACATGACCTGTTATTTTTCATTTCTATGTATTTTATTTGAAAAGCAGAGCTACACAGAGAGAAATTCTCCATCTACTAGTTTACCACGCAAATGGCTGTGACAGCTGAGGCTGAGCCAGACCAGACATGATGCCACAAAACCCCCATCCTGGTTTCCCAAATAGGTGGCAATGGACTATGATGTGCTGCCCTCACAGATGCATTAGCAGAGAGCAGGGTGGTAGCATAGCAGCTAGAACTCAAAGACACTCTGATACAGGATTGTGTTACAGCAAGTGATGATCTGACCCATTGTGGGGCAATGCGGATCCCCTTCTTTTTACTTTTGAGTTTCAGAGTTGCTTAATTTCAGAAGATGGCTGTTTCATGAGCAGCTTTTTCATCAGTCAGTATTTACTTGAAATTGCTTTTTACTATAGCTTAAGATCTTAATTTCATTTTATCTTTTCATAGAAATTGGAGAGCTCTGTTTATCAATTTGTCCAGGACAACATTTCATTTCTACATAAGAACAAAATATGGCCTATCTGTCCATAAAATTTAAGGAATCTTGCTTAATGAAGTATAGGCAAATGCTCTCCATTGGGAGTGGGAAACCAAGAGGGAGGTAACCACTATTTTCTATTCCCTTATTATGCACTCTCCAGGTGGTTCTGGAGTTTAACTTGACAGATTTAGCACCCAGTGCCAGCTTCTGCCAGCTGATGCTGTGGCAAAGCCCAACCAACCCTCACCCACTCTAACATTTGCTTGCACCAGTCAGAACAGTCAGCCCAACCTGACTGGTTCGTATGAGGTATTGTAACCCTGCCTGGTCTGGTCTGCTCCCATCCCAACTCACGCTCTCCAGTGGGAGTGGTTGTCTAGCAGGGGAGCCAACATTCCCCGTGCCGGCTTTGTGCCCTCCCTCCCTGATTCTCACGTGTGCTGTTCGGGTGCTGCGGCTACATCTGGTACCTTCCCCCTCACCTTGGCATTCCGTAATGTGCACTGGTTTGTGTCACAACCAAACCTGTCCCAACCCACACTCTGTTCTGGTGCTCGGTTTCACCAGCGGGTGACGGCAACTGGTTCAGTCTGATCTGTCCCTGACCTATGCCAAATGTATGCGGTGGGTATCTTTCTCTGGCTTAGTCTGGGTCGCGCCTCATCGTGGTTCTTGCGCTCATCTACAAAGACCGTGTCCTGACAGAGGAATTTCCCAAGCTCCTCCATCAGAACCTCTCCCTATGCCAGATCTTGCACATATTGGTGGGTACATGGGCCAGCGCTCCTTGCTGGCCTTCAATCCATCCTTATTCTTATTGTTGGATGTTGGATTACTACTCCCATTGGAGACCACAAAAACCAGGACAGGGTTAGGGGTGACTAGACAGAACAGCACTCATCAGTATGTGTGTGGGCTGGATAATAGGGCCTGTTGGGTTGAACTAGGTTTCAATGCCCATTGACACAAAAGAGCTGAATGGATGTGGGACAGACTGAACAAGTCTGCTGTATATACTGGCATACATGGGAACCAGGGTAGGCAGCAGGCATGGTAGAGGTTATGGGGAGTCGCCCCAACCAGGCTGCAGCTCCCACTGGTTTGTGTGAGGGCTGGGTATGAAGTGGAAAGGATCAGGCTGGACTGTAACACCCATTGGATTGCGTAGAAGACAGGTCTGGAAACAGGACTGACCCAGCAATTTCAACCAGCAGCATGTGCATAGGCTGATTGGGGCGACAGACTGTGCTGGACCCTGTACTGGCTGGCACTTACTCAAATGAATGGGGTCTGGGATCACCTCAGACAAAGTTTCTTGGGGAATCCCTCCAACTGAACTGCTGATTTCAGAACCCCAACCATGAGGAGATTATGTCAGCCAATGGATTCTGACTAGATTTCATCATGCTTGGAATGGCAAGACTGGCAGCAATTCAGAACTGTTGAACTATCAAAACTGCCTGAGCAGGACCCTTGGAGTGTGCCTCACATCCAGGACCTGGGATGGGCGGAAGGTTGGCTGGGGCTTCTCCCTTTGTTTCTCCCCTGACCCCAGATGCAGGCAAGAAAGAATGATGATATTAGTGTGGAAAAAAAATAAAGTATACGCAACTGGAAACTTAAAAGTAGTGGTGAGTTTTGTGGCATAGAAAGTTAAGATATTCTTAGGGGTCACTCACCTCCCCACCCCACTTGTCTGCTCCACTTCTGATCCAGCTTCCTGTTAATGCATTTGGGGAACAGGAGATGATGGCTCGAGTATTGGAGGCCCTGTCACCACAAGGAAGACCAGAACGCAGTTCTTTGCTGTCGACTTCCATCTGGGCCAGACCTAACTGTGGTGGGCATTCGGAGAATGAACCAGCAGATGGAAGGTGTCTGTGTCTTTGTGTTTCTGCTTTTTAATTAAGTAATCAATTTTTAAAATGAGTAAATGAATTTCTCTTTAGAAAAGGTGTTGGTTAATCTTGTGTGTTTTCCTCTGCCATAGGAAAAGTCATTAGTTCTCTGTAATTAACTGCTTCTATCTTCTTTTCTGGGAATGGATTCTTATCTCTCTTTTTCATTTATTTTCACATTCTGAAATTCAATTTTAAAGAGAGGGTGCTAAGCCATTCACAATAATTTGGAAGTTAACAGAATTTTACATCATCAAGCATTATAAACAGAAAGTTCAGGAATTCATGATAGAATAAAGCACACCATTATATTTCTTTTTGTTAATGATTGAAACTAAGAACTATGTTGATAATTGATTTTCTGAGATGAGATATACTAAGCAGTTTACAGCTCTGTTTTGAGAAGTGATAAAATATTAAAGGAAATTAATTTCTCACCATTTATGCGTCGTTGTCAGTGAATTCTCCTCTGTCTCTTGGTCAATTTTAGCTGAAAAAAAAGGAAAAATGGGTAAGAGATTGATAATTAATCATTATACCATCTCAAACAAAAGATAATTTTTACCAATTTAATACTGCAGTGTATTTTAAATTCATGAATGACATAAATATATACTTTTAAATTGTATTTTATCCAAGCTGATATTAGACATTGATGTTACATAAAACTTTGAAATTCTAATTTCTTCGAGTCAATCATCATCAATTTGAGAAAACATTCATTTCATATTTACATTAATTACATCAGGATTTAAAAGCCCAAACTTAGTAGAAAATAGTCCCTCAAATAAAAGGCTCAAACATCAAGTAATAGAACCAAACCAAAATGACATGTGGACTCTCTTCATCATGATAATTGTAACGTTCTTTCAACAGTGCTCACTGTACCAGATCACAAGGGAACAGATTAAGTCATAGTTACAAATTGCTTAAAGCACAGAACAGGGGAGTCACTGTGATGTATTGGGTTAAATTTAGGACACCCATGTCCCACATACCCACACTGCAAGTCTAAACCAATTTCCTACTAAAAGCACTTGGGAAAGAGTATACCATGTCCCAATATATTTTTTTTTCTGCTACACACATGTGGGAGACCAAGAAAGAGTTCCTTATGTCTGAAGTCAGCTTGGCCCAGACTGGTTGTTTCAAGTATTTGGGGGAGTGAATCAGATAGAACACTTGTCTCTCTCTCTTCCCCTCTCAAACATCTCACCTTTGTTGTCATCATATCTTTCAAATAAAGAGATCTTAATGCACACACACAAGGACCCGTTTATGAAAAATAAGCATGTCAATGTCTTTCCAAAATTTTTCTTGATAAGCAAGCATTCCAGGAATTTAGAGACTGCCCCACATCTCCACACTTCTACACATACATATTCGACATACAAGTGTCAACAGTACTCCCACTGCAACTAATGCTAATGTTTCAGCCCTTTCTATTAGATTCTGAAGTATTAATTCTGATCTGTTAAACTGATTCATGACATTAAGTCTCTGAACTTTAGACAAAAAGCCAAAAATTTAAAAATCAATTTAAAAATTCAGGAGACTTTTGAAAGAACTGACCATTTGGAGACATTGGAAGACAAAGTTAAACAAAGCAAATTGATTATAAAAATTGGAACTAGGCATGAAATAAAACCCATGGTCTCTTGGGAATTGTTACAGCGTCTCTATTACTACTTAAAACGTAATACTACAGCTTGGGCTGGTTAATGTTTTACAACTTCAAGACAGTGTTTTTTCGAAGGTCTGTACAGTATCTGCAGAGTCGTAACCGAGTGTCATGCTGCCACACTGCCAGGATTGTCAGAATCTCATAGGACTCAGTTGAGCTGGCGGCGGATTTCTTTTTCTGTCCTTTCCCTCTGTGTACTTTAGATTATTTACATAAACTTACAGGTCATATTAAAAAATAGCATCAATGTTCCTTGATTTTACTTTGAAAAGGTTCCAGCAGGAACATATTGTCTTGTAAAAAATCTGCTCTGGGCTGCCTGACATAAAAAATGATTTGCTTCCAGAAACAATTCTAGAACCACATAAAGTTTGTTTAAGGAAAAATAACAAAGCACCGTGATGCATACCATTTTCAGAAAGGATATTTTTCCAATTGCCTTTGCATGACTTTTTATCCCTCTTTGTAAAATACAGAGATTAAGACTGAGATTGGAATAAAGAATTTCTGGACTACTTGAGAAGATTCAAGCAAATGAATTATGGAAAAACACACTAGACTGAGATGCCAGAGATCTGCATTCTGCCACTAAACTTAGCTATGTGACCGCAGGCTAACAGATTAAACTGTTAACATACACAAGATATTTAGCATCGTGCCTTCAGTAATTAGCAGGGGCTTAATATGTAAAAGCCTTTTAAAATTTTGGAATAGAAGATCTTAAAATTCTTAAAGGGACAGAATACAATATGATGTCTAAGTGAATAAGTCAACTGCTGCTTTATCATCTCAACATCAGATGTAGATAAAGAAAACACTGCTATTTTAGACAACAAAAAGCCCTATGTTGTGGTGAGTGGAATAAAGTGAATTTCACTTGTTCATACGGATTCTCTTTCATGTACCCCCAAACAGATTTGGCTTTATTTCTGGATGAAGGGTGACCAAAAACAAAGCACTTTAATGTGGCCGAAGACTGACTATCACCAAAGGAATAAGACATAAAAAACAGAGCCTCTCTCCAAACCAATGCCCTATTGCAATCATGAAGTATAACTGGACCAGCAGTGAATACTTGAAGGTGTTCTACTATCCACTGTTTCTACACATTTTTGAAGCTAGCAGTATTTGTGTATTCAAATGTAACCAGCTTTGATAAACAATCAAATGAAAGATCAAAGAATGTGCATTAAGTCTGTATTTCAACTCCTGATACACAGTCAATAATCCAAGCAACTAAGGAGATTCTTTTGTATGGCGATCTTGGGAAAAACTTCCTGAAATGTTGAGGTGCGCAACCCACTTTCCAAACTACTGCTGGTATAAATGCACCAACATCTTGCTGCCATAATTCTTTCAAATACACTGAGGATGATAACTTAATAATAAATGAAGAATGTGCTTGCTTTAGGTCCTTAGACCTATCAAAATCAATTTGGATTGGAATAAAATGACAAAAATGCTGAAATTTATATAGAGAACACACAAGCTCATATATGCAATGCCCAAAATCTTAATCTAACTGAAATATTTCAGTTTGAGGATCGACTGTGCCAGGCTGAACATTCTTAGATGTGCAAACTTCTAATCTGAATCTTTGCTGAGGATGATGTAAAAAAATTCACAATTTTTTAAATGAAGCACAAATATCTTATTGTTAATAATGCTATGTCCTAACTGTATTTCTCAAATATAAAAATTAATTTCATTTAATGTTGTCAGCAGTTTGTGAAATTTATTGAAAGTATAATCTGTCTTCAATATGCTTCATTAAAATAAAGTATGCTAAATTAATGTATAAGAGACATAAAATACCTAAATTTTACACTTGAAGTAAAATTTCCTCATTCCTAAAAGTATTACAGCTTATTATTAATTATTATTATTACTATTAGATACAGCAAAACATGAAATGGCAAACATCTAGTCCTCCATAGTCTAATAAGTATAAGAAAGTTTAAGAAAAAAATATTTTTTAAACCCAGGTAAGCCCAAGGCTTATTTTATAAGGATCTTAGAATTGTCATCAGACGCCTTAGGATGTCGGCTGCCTGGGGATCCGCGCGCACCTCCAGTAGAGGTGTTTCTGAAAAGCTTGAAGTGCATTGTTGTTCGAAAGTATCCAGAACTCAGGTCTCCAGGATCACCTGCTCTTTGCCCACCTCATTCCAGGAGAGCTATACCTTTTTTGCAAGCCGTCATTCCCACTACATTTTTCCTTTCCTAGTCAACCCAGGAAAAGTGTCTTGGCTGAACATAAGATGCAGAGTGTGGAAAATGTGAGTTTGAATTCTTATGCAGTCAAAACTTTATGGCTCACAACATCTGCTGGCAGAAGCTGGCACGGGGGCTAGCTCTGCCAAGTTAAACCACAGAACACCTGGAGAGAGCCCAATCCAGGAGTGGGAGTGACCTGGGAGGGAAATAGTGGGCTCCTCCCTCTTGGGTTGCCACCCCCATGGGAGGGCATGGAAACTAGGACAGGGGCTGGGGTGGCTAGACAGACACCCAACAACATCCGTGAAGGCTGGATAGTTGAGCTGGTTAGATGGAACAAGGTTTTAATACCCATTGACATGTATGAGAGCAGAAGGGAATGTGGGACAGACTGGACTAGTCTGCCACACATATTGGCAAACCAGGGTAGGGGCAGGCCTGGTTGGGGTTATTGTGGGTCACTCCGATTAGGCTGCAGCTCCCACTGATTCATGTGAGGCCCGAGTATGTGCTGGGCAGAACCAGGCTGGACTGCAAGCACCCATTGGTTCCAGAGGAAGACAGGGATGGAAACAGAAGCAACCCAGTAACTGCAACCACCAGCAGGGTGTTGAATTGGACTTGAGGTGGTGCCCATATAGGATGCAAGTGCTGTACAGTGTAGATTCATCCACTAAGCCAAAGTCCAAGATGGAAATGTTTCACATCTAAAACGTAAAAAGTCTTATACTAAAGGAGTATCGTACATTTTTTTGGATCTCAATTCAGAGTTCAGATGCAGAGTTAAATATTACTTTTCATAAATAAAGGGAATTCGTTATACACATATAGAGAAATTACGGATCAAAACATAATTCTAAAATACACTTAACAATTCTATTTTTTCTTTTTATGTGTTATGCACCAATAGTTGTCTTACAATTAAAATGTTGATGTTGGAGATCCAGTGGCAAGAAAATATTTTCAGACTGAGTTGCCCTAAAGACGAAATTAGCAGTGGAATAGAGTGAAGATCAAAACAACAAAATTAAGTAATTAATTCTCTACTCACATTGGATAATATGTTTGGAAAATGGCCAAGGAAACAGTGGTTTGCACTGATGAGAGAATAACAGCAACTCTCACTTAAATAGGCCAGATACTGTTGCGAGAAATAGGTGTTACAGAAGTTTATCTGCCAGTAGTACAAGGGGGAGCAAGGGCCTTTGCTATAGCTTAGTGGCTAAATCTTTGCCTTGCATGTGCCAACAACCCATATAGGCATCAGTTTGTGTTCTGGCTGCTCCACTTCCCATCCAGCTCCCTGCTTGTGGCCTGGAAAACCAATGGGATGGCTCAAAGCTTTGGAACTCTGCACCTGCGTGGGAGATCCAGAGTAAGCTCCTGGCTTCAGATCTGCTGTATTACCTTTTCTCTAAATCTGTTTTTCCAATAAAAATAAATAATATATCTTGCAAAAGAATTAGAGTAGAATTAAAAGGGGAGGAGCAAATCAGGGCTTACATTTGAACATGTGTCTAAGATTTTGATCATGATTAGTGCCCTTTGCCTCCTAAATATCAAGTGTGAGGAATCTTCTATTTGAAGCA